GTTTTCGTGGGCTCCCAGGCCACTGATTTCGGAGAGGCCTTGGCCCGCCACGATGAGTTCTAGAATGTCTAGATCGAACTGACTAGATAGCATCCAGCATCCAACTTCCCTGAGATTATGATTGATCCTATGAATCTCCTATTTCGCATGCCAAATAACTTGTAAACCTTGTCTAGATCTTAAGACCATTGAAAGTGCTTTATAAACCGACTCGAATGAAGGGGCTCCCATTTGTATGGCACCACGACTAATTGATTTGAGGTGATTTGTTTAATTGAAAGGCGTCCACGTCAGCTCTTGGAGCATCAATGGCCACGTCACCGAACGAAACCCCATCCGCACACACATGCGGTCACTTGACCCCTCCTCTTTGCCCCGAGTCACAGATACGCCGCATTTGCCTGTGTAACATATGTATAAACATAAATGGTTTTCGCTGTAGCTCGATTTATTTCCAGCTGCGAGAACATTCCAAAGAGAGGGAGTGCACCGGAAAACACTGGGAATAGCTATCTGGATTGCCTACGTTCCCTACATACTCTGGCTGAATACTACATTTTAATGTGCCTCAATATTTAAACAAGATCATTTTAGAATTTAGTTGCACTATGTTCAATAAAATGCTTTTATTAATTCTACAAAAACTTTTGTATATGTAAATTTATCTCGGTGTAGAACGGGGAGCTCTGAGAATCGGTTATTTTGTTTCAAGCTGATTTAGATTATTTTCGGTTCTCGACTTTCGCCGAGATAAGCAAATAATTCGTTTTCGGCGTTGATAAGTTTGTTTCCGTTTTGGGTACAGTGAGCACTCGAGGCTGATATCAGCCATTGAGAAATGAAGTTTGATAAACAATCAGCTCAAGAATATATGAATGCGTGGGCTATGTGGGTACGATTGCTTATGTGCTGCTCAGATCTTGGAGAAGAGAACCAGCTCAGAAATCGACTTAGCCCAAACTAGTTTCACGCTCTTTCCCATTCATAGTTCCACAACATACGCAGATTCTTTTGCATAAATTCAAGTAAATGTATCTTTACTTGAAAGGTTGCTAGTATCGCCATAAATAAACCAAACTCCTTTTATTATGCTTTATTGATTTCCATTGAAATAGACACATTTATATAATTATCTTGGCTTCGTTCATGGTTTTGTTGCTGTGTTTCTTGAATATCTGTTGTTCTAAAATACAAAGTATTCAAAGTTGCTCAGTTTGATGCCTTTAATTCAGTACATAGTATACGAAGGACTTTTCATCTTATACATACATGTATATATATATTGATAGTTCCTGGATCTAGCAAAAGTTTAAAAAGTTGTTACTCGCCAGCGCCGACGCTTCGATATCCAACAACATCTAAATACAAGTATGTAATAATGTAAGTGTAATTGCAATGGAACGTTTACTTTACTGACTCCATATCCTGATCCCTTCTGGAAGGACCTTCGATCAACAGGCGACATCTATGCTTTTTGCTCTTTATGCGGCTATTCTCGTCCTTGTCTCACTTTTTTTTTAGGTTTTTCGTTTGTTTTTGGTTTTACCTCAGTTTTACAACATTAATTTTAATTACAAAAGTTATTAAATAATACAAAATACAGTTAGAGTTTACAGTTCTCCATTTCATCTAGAAACATCTCGCTTTTAACTTTTAGTTGAAATTAATGCACAGGTAAACAGAATTGGATTATGAATTACAGAACACTCGAAACGAACTCGGAAACGAAACAAAAGCAAGAGTTTGGTTTGGTTTGGGGGAATCCCCCCGTAGCAGCGGAAATTAGTGGCAAAATTGTAACAAAGAAACTACGGATCAGCCATTTAGCCTGGCCACGCTTAGGTTACATAATGGTTTTATAGTTAATAATATTACGTTTAAACAGAGTCCAACGGGGGAACTCCAACTGTCTAACTCTTTTAGAGCAGGGCGCACTTGCGCTTGGACTTGGGCTGCAGCACGGGGCACAAAACCGATCGGATGGCCTCGTCGAAGACGGTTTTCAGACCTTTCTGCGTCAGGGCCGAGCACTCCAGATACTTGACCGCACCGATCTCCTTGGCCATGGCCAAGCCCTGCGGATAGGTGATGGGTGCCAGCTTCTTGTCCCTCAGCTTTTCGATTGTGTTCTTGTCGTCGCGCAAATCCAGCTTAGTGCCCACCAGGATGATGGGCGTGCTGGGGCAGTGGTGGCGCACCTCCGGATACCACTTGGCCCTCACGTTCTCAAATGAGGCCGGATTCACCAGCGAGAAGCAGATGAGGAAGACATCGGTCTGGGGATAGGACAGTGGCCTAAGTCGATCGTAGTCCTCCTGCCCGGCCGTATCCCACAAGCCCAAGTTGATGGGCTTGGCGTCCACCATCACGTTGGCCGAGTAGTTGTCGAACACGGTGGGTATATACTCGCCGGGAAAGGCATTGGTCGTGTAGCTGATCAGCAGGCAGGTCTTTCCCACGGCTCCGTCGCCCACGACGACGCACTTGATCGCCTGCATGGTGCTATTGGCTTCCGCGTTGGCTTCCTAGACTTTCTGGAGTGGAGTGCGTTGTGTTCTAGAGATCACAGATTGCAGATTGCAGATTGCGGGGGTGCTTCTTCTTCAGTCGTTTTTGGTTCTTTTTGGGGCGGCGGCGGAGGACTGTTGCTTGCGTGGGTCCTTTTCCGTGGTTATCTCTGAAACCGCGACTCCTTTTCCAGTGCCTTGGGGTCCTCGGGGCGACTGATGATCGCGCCTTACGTTCTGGGCCACTTTAGTTCGCTTTTTGTGCGTTAAATTCCCTAATTTTCTCAACAAAAAAGGTAACTTTTCTGTGTACTGCAGTGTGACCGCGGCTAGACTGTTCAAATATACCGTCCGACGAGATGTAAAATACTAGAATCGAATATAAACTTCTGTAAAATGGTCACCCTAAGTTCTTAAATTAAATAAATGTAAATAGTTGTAAAAAATGTAAAAAGCTTTCTCAATTTTGCATTTACTTTTAATCGAATCCGAATAAAAAATATATGATTCAGTTGTGCAGCGGTTTATACCTGTGGTTTTCAGTGCGAACCAGGTATTTTTAGTGGGGCTGGGCCCCAAAAGTGCAGCTTTGGGGCTCTGACACCACCTGGTCACACTCCTGGCAGCCAATAACATAATTTCGAAAATTAGAAATTATTTGCTGTTCAATAGTCAAGTCGAAAACACCTGTTCCTTGCCCATCCAGAATGTCTGACGTGTTCATCGTGTCCGCCGCCCGCACTCCCATTGGTAAAACTAGGAAAAATCAGATGAATCATACATGAAAACCACATTCTAATTGGCAACTTTCTCTTGCTGTTTGTCCAATCTGAAAAATCAACAGGTAGCTTCAATGGAACGCTTTCTAAACTGAAGGCCTCCGATCTGGGCAGCGTGGTGATCCAGGAGGTGCTCCGGCGGGCGAATGTGCAGGGCCAGGAAGTGAACGAAGTCATCTTGGGCCAGGTGGGATCGCACATGTCATTACTGTTTCTTTTCCAATCTTACCCATCTATTTGTTATGTAAATATCTTTGTTAGGCACTAAGTGCCGGTCAGGGTCAGAATCCCGCACGGCAGGCTTCACTCAAGGCTGGTCTGCCCATTCAGGTACCTGCCTACGGCATCAATATGCTGTGTGGTTCCGGTTTAAAGTGGGTTTGCCAGAGATTTCCATACAATTGCTTACACTTATGCCGGTTTCTTCCCCTCCAGAACTGTGGCGCTGGGCTACCAGGCCATCCGCTCGGGAGATGCACAGATTGTGGTGGCAGGAGGTCAGGAGAGCATGTCCCTGGCTCCACACGTCATGCATCTGCGGCAGGGCGTCAAAATGGGTTCGAGCACGATGGTGGACACGTTGATCCACGACGGCCTGACCGATGCCATGGAGAACATACACATGGGCATCACCGCCGAAAATCTGGCCGATAAATACCAAATCAGTCGCGAAGCCCAGGATGCTTATGCCGTGCTGTCACAAAATCGAGCCGAGGAGGCCCAAAATAAGGGCTACTTCGACAAGGAGATTGTGCCCGTGGAGATCAAGGATCGCAAGGGAACGATCACATTCAGCAAAGATGAGTACATCAAGGCGGGCAGCACCGTCGAGGGTATACAGAAGCTCAGGGCAGCCTTCAAAGAGGTAGGTCTAGGAACAATATAAAAACAGCGAGCGTTAACCCACTTTCTCGTGCTTTTTTAGGGCGGCTCTATAACCGCTGGTAATGCCTCTGGTGTCAACGACTCCGCTGCTGCAGTGCTGCTGATGTCTGGCGAGGAGGTGGTCAAGAAGGGCCTTAAGCCACTGGCTAAGATTGTGGGCTGGACGCAGAGTGGCATTGAGCCAAAGGTGATGGGACTGGGACCAGTCACCGCTGTCGAAGCATTGGTAGTTACACAAACTTTCCTGTTGTATACATTCTTTCTAAGTATTATAACTTTTCAGCTTAAAAAGATTAACTGGAAGCGCGAGGAAGTGGATCTCTACGAGCTAAACGAAGCCTTCGCCGCCCAATCACTGGCTGTCCTGCAGGACCTGCAGCTGGATGCTCAAAAAGTAAATGTCAATGGCGGTGCCATTGCCCTGGGCCATCCGATTGGAGCTTCAGGTGCCCGTGTCCTAGTCACTTTGCTCTATGCGCTGGAGCGCACGGGTGGAAGTCGGGGAATTGCATCGCTCTGCATCGGTGGCGGCATGGGAATCGCCCTGGCCGTGGAGCGCATCAACTAGCCTCAATTCATTGTCATTCAAGCCTCTATTTATTGCCTTTCGCTGTTTCCCACTTAAGCGTAAAGTTTATTTTTCTATCGTCCACAGTATGCACACGTACTTAAATGCGCAACACATGCCACATAAGTCTACTCAATTAAAGTTCATTTCATACGACTTGCATTTCAGCGTCTTTTATGGAGGTGCATTGCTTTTAAGCAATTGAATTGTAAAATTGCTTCGAATTACGTCAGCTGAAAATTGTTTATAAAACAGTATTTGTTATGATGATGCACAACCGCTTTATTTGTTTTAGTTTCTGTTCCTACACATGCAATTATCTGTACATCGTGAATTCTCAGATTTTTCAAATGAGGCATAAAGATACATGCATCGCATCATTATAAAACACGTAGGCTTACAAAATTAGTAACTTATGCTTTTAAATGTAAGCTTATACATTAAATTGAGCTAACGTTTATGTTAAATAGCTTCTTAAATTTTTAGCAGTGGAAGTTAGTTGTTTATTGTGCCAATACTTTTATTGGACATTGTCCAAGACCACGAATGTCACAAATGTAATAAAATATATTACAGTGTACATATTACGAAAGAATTAGCTATTGACATGAAAATTTGTAAAAGGAAATTAAAATAGTTCTAAGCCTAAGTGTGGAAAATCGTATTGCTATGGAGTACACTGTAAGGCTAAATTGAATAATTCAGAGTCTCGCGGTTTTTATTGCTTTTATCAAATATAATGGTTTGTACGTATGATTTTGTAAGACGCTTCAACTGATAGAAGCGTTATCGCGCCTCGTGTCCGCAGGTCGTTTATTGACTCCAGGGAGAAAATGATAGCAGAGCGCCTATCCACGCCAGGAGCTCTTCAGCTGCACAGTCTCCAGCTCCTTGGGCAGCCGCGGACTGAAGCCATACGGATTATGGCAAATGATTCGCTTATCTGGTGCAGTCTGCGCCACTTGCTCCACCGAGGGCACGCACAACTGGGCATAGCTGCTAATGAAGCTGGACCACAGAGTGGGTGTGCAGTCCAGAGCGAAGTACGGGCCCCACAGCTGGGAGTCCAACTCGGCAGCATACGGATACTTACCATCCTCCAGAAGCAGCTCCTCGGCTATGGCCACGGCATCAAAGTCGCGGTGTTTGACCGGTGTATAAACATCCTGGATTATGTTATCGCCGAAGTACAGTGCTTTAGCCTGAGACGGCTCCTTCCGGAGCATTCCAGCCATGGCGGCGTGTAGCTGGTGCCAGTTGCCCTGGGAGTAGATCTCGCCCGCCTGTATGTCCTTAGCCTCTTGCGGCAGTTCCGCCAGTTTCCCCACATCCACGTGCATGAAAGGACGCTGCATGGTGAAGAAACCCGGTTTCTTGGCGTAGGTCACCACGAAATCAAAGTATTTGCGCCAGTCCTGGCCCAGCGCCTGCGTGGCTGTCAAATTGGCAAAGTCCACGTTGGAGCCAGTGAGCAAAAAGAGCTTCTTGCCGGATTTTCGCAGTTCCCCAAGCCAGTTCATCACGCTAGGGTTTGTTGGGAGCACAAATCTTTCCGGTTCCGCTCGCATGCTTTTAAAATAGAGACTCTTGTCGTTGGTGAAGTGATCCCGACTATAGATGTTCATCAGGCCCGCCTGCACATCTTGCCACACCTGATACTCCTCTCCTGCCGATGGCTTCTTTTCCCTATCAACCTGATCCACTGCCTGGGCAAAGACCAAAGCACTGGGCATATCAAAATAATCCAAGAGCGAGCGCATTTGCGTCGAGGCGGCGCCATTCCAAGTGGACAGGGGATCCCTGTAAAAGGCAGTGGTGATTTCCCACCTTCGATCTCGACCGTAGATGGCTTGAACTTCTGCGTCGCTCAGTAGACGCGTGCCGTGGGTGGCTCGCAGGATCTGGGCCTCGCTGCTTAGCTTCAGAACATTGCCACGCGGTCCGTCCAGGAACAGCCCCTTCTGCAGGAAGTCTAAGTTGAGCGATTGAGAGAGTAGATCCCTGTCGTAGCCCTTCTGCTCTACGAGAAACTGCTTCAGGACCTGATAGATCAGCGCAGACATCTCGTGGAGATTGTAGCGCAAAAGGGTGCTATCCAGATCGAAGCCCATTATGTCGTAGTCCGTGAGGAGCAGCTCCTTGTGGTAGGATGTCATGATGGTGCTGGCCGAATACCTAGAGTTTCCGCCTGCAGAGTTGTGGAAGCGCCTGATTATCTGCTGCTGATCCGTCACTTCACGTGTTGCTCTTCCCACTGCCGCCGGCGGTGTACTGGACGGCGTTATTGAATTTTGCGCCAATTTGCCGAAATTGCGTAACAGGAAGCGAACATCTGTTTGGGGCTGTTTGTGTACGTTTGTTTTTGTTTTCGTTTTCGTTGAGGTGGCCAGGCGAATGGAGAGGACGGGGGCGGAAAAGGCGCCCACGGTGACGGTTCTGCCCAAGGCCAGCATCTTATCTTATCGACTAACACATCTTACTTGTCCGAAGTGTGATCTAAATTTAAAATTAATCCGAAATTCACTATCTTTCAGGTGGTTCTGACAAATTCATTTTTCATCTGTAAATGTATGTCTACAACTGGCAGAGCTGCAAACCCTTTGGAGTTGAGTAGTACTGAGTCACTTGCTAGCCAATAATAGCTAGATTTAACTGACTTTAACCAAGAGCAAGTGGAATATTCACTGTGTTGCTATCTTAAGTTGCTTATGATCCGATATATATAATATTATTGTATTTTATGCAATGGATTTAACACATCAACACATAGTTCTCAACATTTGAAGCTGAGATGTCATCACTGGCAATGACAAATAATCGTTATCGGAAATCGATAGCAGCTGAATTATCGTTGGCGCAATCGACTCTTGTGCCGTCCCTATCAAGCGTACCGGAATGGAAAAAATATAGTTTATTTTTGCACATTTTGCCAATTTCCGCACATTTTAAAAAGTTTTCGGGCCAGTAAACCGTTTTCCACCGCTTTGTTTGTTGGCGCAAGGCCTCCGAAACCATGTCCAACTGCATAGAGATCCCTTTGCAGGACACCGATGAGGTGAGCATTGATCTGAGAGATTTAAGTTGCAAGTGAATAATCCACCTATTTACCCAATGTAGGTGATCGAGGTGGACCCAGATCAACTGCCCGACTGTCCAGAGGTGTTGAGCATTCTTAAGCAGGAGCGGGCGCCTCTGCACGTTTGGGTCAATGTGGCGGTAAGTTGAAAGACTGCATAGAAGGCATTTAGCGTGTTCCACATGGCTACGTCTTTTCCAGCTGGCCTACTACAAGCAAAAGAAGACGGAGGACTTTGTCCTGCTGCTGGAGGAGTCGCGCAGCGATGACGCCACCAAGGAGTATCGCGACTCGGACAAGGACCTCATGCGCGCCCTGGACATGCTCGCTGCCCACTATGTCCAGGAGGCGTATCGGGAGAAATCCAAGGACAAGAAACGAGAACTCTTTATGAAGGCCACCAACTTGTACACCAGTGCCGACAAGATTATCATGTACGACCAGAGCCATCTGCTGGGCAGGGCCTACTTCTGTCTGCTGGAGGGCGACAAAATGGACCAGGCGGACGCCCAGTTCAACTTTGTGCTCAACCAGTCCCCGTCGAATATTCCCTCGCTGCTGGGAAAGGCCTGCATCGCGTTCAATCGCAAGGATTACCGCGGAGCTATGGCCTTCTACAAGAAGGCCTTGCGTACAAATCCAAACTGTCCGGCAAACGTGAGAATCGGCATGGCCCACTGCTTCCTGAAGATGGGCAATCCAGAGAAGGCCAAACTAGCCTTTGAACGAGCGCTCCAGCTGGATCAGCAGTGTGTGGGCGCTTTGATTGGTCTAGCCGTTCTCAAGCTAAATCAGCTCGAGCCCGAGTCCAATAAGCTGGGTGTCCAGATGCTCTCCAAGGCATACACCATCGACAATGCCAACCCAATGGTGCTTAATCACCTGGCCAATCACTTCTTCTTCAAGAAGGACTATCAGAAAGTTCACCACCTGGCGCTGCATGCCTTCCATAACACTGAAAACGAGGCGATGAGAGCCGAGAGCTGTTACCAGCTGGCCAGAAGCTTCCATGCCCAGAGCGACTACGATCAGGCCTTTCAGTACTATTACCAATCCACTCAGATTGCGCCAGCTAACTTCGTGTTGCCCCATTACGGACTGGGACAGATGTATATATATCGAGGAGATACGGAAAATGTGAGTTGGACAAACCTTTTATCGAACCTTTAATTACCAACTTTGTGAACACTTCCAGGCCGCTCAGTGTTTCGAGAAGGTGCTGAAAATCCAGCCAGGCAACTACGAGACCATGAAGATTCTTGGATCTCTGTACGCGCACTCCAATTCGCAAACCAAGCGGGACATGGCAAAAACTCACCTCAAGAAGGTCACCGAACAATTTCCCGAGGACATTGAAGCCTGGATAGAACTGGCTCAAATCCTGGAGCAGAACGACCTGCAGGCCTCGCTCAATGCCTACGGCACCGCTTCTAGTATTCTTCGGGACAAAGCCAAGTACGAGATACCCGCTGAGATTCAAAACAACGTGGCTTCACTGCACTACCGCCTAGGCAACTTGAAGATGGCAAAGGACACCCTGGAGTCGGCCCTGAAGCATGCGACCTCTGAGATGGACAAGGATGTAAAATACTATGAGTCCATTCAGGTCACCATGAAGTACAATCTTGCCCGTCTTAACGAGGCAATGAGTAGCTACGATGTGGCCGACAAGCTGTACAAGGAGATCCTCAAGGAGCATCCCAACTACATTGACTGCTACTTGCGACTGGGTTGCATGGCAAGGGACAAGGGTCTGATTTTCGTGGCTTCCGATTTCTTCAAGGACGCGCTGAACATCAACAACGACAATCCAGATGCGAGATCTCTGCTGGGAAACCTTCATCTGGCCAAAATGCAGTTCGCTTTGGGACAGAAGAACTTCGAAACGATCCTCAAGAATCCGGCTACTTCTACGGATGCCTACTCACTGATTGCTCTAGGCAACTTTTCATTGCAAACACTGCATCAGCCGAGCAGAGATAAGGAGAAGGAGAGGAAGCACCAGGAGAAGGCTTTGGCCATATTCAAACAGGTGGGACTGATTGAAATAGATAAATTGTATCATATTTAAAAAGAAACGCATTTGCTTGCCAGGTTCTTCGCAATGATCCCCGAAATATTTGGGCCACCAATGGGATTGGTGCCGTGCTAGCTCATAAAGGATGTGTGATCGAAGCGCGTGATATCTTCGCGCAGGTGCGTGAAGCCACCGCTGACTTTTGCGATGTGTGGCTGAATATTGCGCACGTTTATGTCGAACAGAAGCAATACATCAGTGCCATCCAGATGTATGAAAACTGCATGAAGAAGTTCTACAAGCACAACAACGTCGAGGTGATGCAATATCTGGCAAGAGCATATCTTCGAGCCAATAAGCTGGTCGAGGCCAAGGCAGTGCTCCTTAAGGCTCGACGAGTTGCGCCCCAGGACACAGTCTTACTCTTCAATATAGCAGTGGTCCTCTCACGTTTGGCCATGGCCATACTCAAGGATGAGAAGTCTACTCTGGAAATTGTGCTGCAGGCTGTCCACGAACTGGAGCTGGCTCAAAAGTAAGTGGCAACAAAAATGTCTTAAGATAACACAGCTAAGGACCTTGCTCCCCAACAAATCTTTTAAAGTGGCTATTAGAGTACCAACCATCAGATAACGTGAATTTAATTACTGGCATTCTGAAGTCCAGCAACAATGAGTCAACCTTAATGGTATTATAGCTTATCAGATCAGAAATGAATGCAAAGTAATCATCATGAACTGCTAAACCGAACATTGGATTAGATTACCTTATAATTTCCTTACTCATATTAAATATCGATTTCCATAAATATGTTTTATGTCTCATAAGTTAAACATAAACCAAGATTTGCTGTCATTCAAATATCTCATTCAAATACCCTCTTCAATCTCTCATAGATACTTCCAATACTTGTCGGTGCATGGGGATAAGAATCGCTTCAACATTGAGGTGGCTGGCATTGAGGCAAACACCTGCCAGGATCTGCTCTCCCAGGCCCAGTACCATGTGGGCCGTGCGCGTCGCATTGACGAGGAGGAGCGCTCGTTGCGCCGAAAGCAGGAGGAGGAGCGCGAGGCCTTCAAAGTTAAGGTGGCGGAGCAGCGCAAGCGGCGGGAGGAGGAGGCCAAGACCTCCAGGGACCAGTTGTTAGCCAAGCGGCAAGAGTACGTGGAGAAGACCAAAAACATGCTCATCATTGCCGACTCTGCGCCTGAAAAAGATCGCAAAAAGGGAGGCGGGCGAGCTCGTAAGGATGACTACATCTCCGGCACCGACAGCGATAACGATGGACCTCGTCGTGAGGGAGAACGTCCCTCGAAGAAGAAGAGCAAGGCGGAACGCAAAAAGGGCAGCGGTCGCAAGCGCAAGACGGAAAAATACGAGAGCGACAGCGAGGAGGAGCCGAGGGGCAGTGGCAAGTCCGGAAAGAAGAAGGGCAAGAAGCCAAAGCCGGTTAAGGAATCCAAGGAGAAACTTTCTGCTAAACAGCGCCTTAAGGTGCTGTCCAAGGAGACGATCTCCACCAGCGAATCCGAGTCTGACGGCAAGCGCAGCAAGAGCAGAAGCAGAAGCAGGAGTCGCAATCGCAGTGGTAGCCGAAGTGGCAGTGGATCTGGAAGCGGCAGTGATCGCGAGGCCAGTCGCAAGCGCAGCAGGAGCAGAAGTGGCTCTGGATCTGGGAGTGACAGTGATGGAGCTACCAAGCGCAAGCGCGCCAAGAATCGCATCGAGTCTGGCGGGGAATCGGATAGATCTGGGTCCCGTGCTCGCTCCAAGTCGAGTTCCCGTTCAAGATCTCGCTCCAAGTCCGGATCTCGGTCGAGGTCTCGCTCCAAGTCAGGATCCCATTCGAGATCGCGCTCAAAGTCCGGCTCCCGCTCAAGATCGCGATCCCCGTCGGGTTCAAGATCCCGCTCTCGCTCTGGCAGCCGATCCAAGTCCGAATCCCGCAGTAGATCAGGGTCTCCGGAAAAATAACGCACCACTCAAGCGTGTTCAATCACTTTTGACTATATTTAGAGTTTCCTTCGAGAGCTGCAAAAAGATACTAATAAAAACAAACTAATTGCCACACAAAGGCAGTGGAGTAATTGCTATGGGATTGCTGTTCAACCCTAATCCGGATTCCAAGCTTGTTAGTATGGGTGGATTAGGAACTGGACACGGTTGATTGTCTGCGCTAGGACAATAATCGACCTCAACCCCGTCTATGTTGCTGGATCATATCTCTTACGGTTGCCGCCATAGTCTGCGAGTGTCGCAGGACGAAAGCGTGGTCGATCTTCTTGGTGTCCAGCTGGGCGTCCACCTTGGGATAGTCTTTTTTGAGCTGCTCGTAATAGGAGACTGGTACCCATCCATCGGTGGTGCCATAGTAAAACTTAAGGATGTCCAGGTTCTGTTCTACAATCTCCCTTTGAATGCCGCGAACCCTGGCCATCTCGTCGTCGGCCAGGAAGACCACCTTCTCTGCTACCGATGGCTTGGAGTACTTTAAGGCGGTGCCCAGAAATTGTCGTGGAATGGAGAAGATCAAGAAGTAGATCTGTATCAGCATGAGGCGCAACCACACGGGCAGAAAGTTGAAGAAGCTGAAGAAGATGTAGCCAAACACCGAGTACAGGGGCATGACCACCTTGGTGAACACCCAGCCATTGGGCGATTCCATCATTCGCTCGACGGTGGGGAACAGCATATAG